ATATTTATTGTGATGTTTTTTTTTTTGGGTTTTGGAATTTATCAATTCTTTTAATTACCTTCAATAATTTAATTATACTTCAGTTTCCACTTAATCGATTTTGGTGCAAAAAAAGTGTACGCAATAATATCAAAATAATCATTGTTTTAAGTCTAGATTATTCCCATTTAATTTATAGATATATAGGATTGGATTAGTGTCATGCTCTTCAAGTTTCAATATATTTAAAAACAACCTAAGTCTTATCTTATTTTTAGCTTACAGGTGTATATATATATTTTTTATTATTTCGTATTCAATTACGTTAGGAAAAAAATTATGTAAGTAGATACCAATAAGAAACACTTATAGTTGAAAATTACTGAACAATAGCGGCGATATTTCTTTGATGAAATCGGAATTGTCATATAGTTAATTAAGAAATTAAATATATCGCAAACGTAAACCTATTTTAAATTCACACGATCAAACTACTCAGAAAAGAAAAACATAGGCCGACTGCTATTGTTCTTAGCGGTTTTTTTTTGTGATATGATAAAAAATACTGTCGCCTTGCGGTTGTTAGCATGAACGTTTTAGTATTAAAGTGCAGATTAAAATTAAGTATCGTCTATTAAGTATATACTTTAATTTTCTTTTTAAAAAATATTTGAACTCAAACGGCGCTCACTTCAATTGTGATTGGTCACAATATTTTCTAAACCATACATTCACTTTCCCATTGTTGCACATATTATATGTATTTAGTAATAAAGGTGCATTGTTATATGATTATTAAATAATATGCAAAGGTGAATTACATTTGCAAGGTTAATTGCAGAATTAATTACAAAAAAAATGGAAATATATTACCCGTAGAAATTATATGCTTTCAATTAAAATATTTTCTTAATTAAATTGCACGAAAGTGAAAAAAATCATATACAATAATGTCACAATATGTATATATATACATAATAATTAAAGTAGTCATGTATGTAATTTCAGAAAATAGTAGAAACTATATTTTTAGTGGTTTACAAATAGTTTTAACGAAAAGTACACGGAAAGAGAAACATTCCCAAGCTCGTAACTATCAAGTAAACGAAACATACGAGGGTGGATTGATAAGTTTCCGGCCTGACCAAGAAAAACAAGGTTTTTAAAAATTTTTTTTTTTTATTTCTCAACATAATCTCCTCCAAGGCTGATACATTTCTCATAGCGGTGTTCCAGTCTATTAATGCCATCTCTATAGACTGATTCGTCAAGCTCCTCAAAATAACCATTTACAGCTTCGATTACTTCTTCATTGTCCGCAAATCTCTTACCGCCAAGCCATTTTTTGAGATTAGGGAACAGAAAATAGTCACTCGGGGCTAGGTCTGGAGAGTAAGGAGGGTGCGGCATCAATTCAAACTTTAGATCGTTGATTTTAGCCGTCGCAACGATTGACGTGTGCGCTGGTGCGTTATCGTGATGAAACAAGATTTTTTTCTTCGCCAGATGAGGTCGTTTAATTTTCACCTCGTGGCTCAAACGTTGCAATAAGTCTGCGTAGTATTGACCAGTGATAGTATTACCCTTTGCAAGGTAATCAATGTATATAATACCTCTTGCATCCCAAAAAACAGTAGCCATAACCTTGTTCGCCGAAAAAATTGTTTTTGCCTTCTTTGGAGTTGGTTCCCCTGGTCCAATCCACTGTTTAGACTGTTCTTTGGTTTCAGGAGTGTAGTGGTGGACCCACGTTTCGTCAACGGTTACGAATCGACGCAAAAATTCGCTTGGATTACGCTTATACAATGACAAATTTGCGGTAGAAATGTTTTTTCGAATCAATTTTTGGTCGACTGTTAGCAAACGCGGCACCCATCTTGCACAGAGCTTTTCCATATGCAAATGTTGGTGCAAAATATGTTGCACACGTTCATATGACATCTTACAGGTCTCAGCTATCTCACGCACTTTCAATCTGCGGTCTCCCAGCACTATTTGATGAATTTTTTCGATCATATCTGGAGTTGTGACCTCAACGGGGCGTCCTGAGCGAGGCCCATCAGAGGTGCTCACACGACCCTTTTTAAACTCGGAAACCCACTGCTTAACGGTTGAATATGACGGGGAGGATGTCCCCAGTGTTGAGTCCATCTCTTTTTTAATTTCCTTCGGCGTTAACCCCTTCAAATAAAAGTATTTGATGACAGCACGATTTTCCTGCTTTTCCATTTTTACGAAAACCACAGAGGCGTCTTGTTCAGCGTGCTGTCAAACCTACACTAGCAAGGAGATCGGGCTGAAACTATAGCTACAAGCTATCCAAGGATGGTACTATAGAATGTCACCTCAAGGTAGGCCTAGTGGCGTCATCTCTTGGTTAGGCCGGAAACTTATCAATCCACCCTCGTATATTGACAAAATCAGTGTTACCCTAGACAAAAATCTCTCTCCAGTGTCTCAGAGTCTTTCAAAGTCTTTCAGCGTCTCTGAGAGCGTCTCTCACAGTCTCTCAGTTATTGCCTAGGTGTTTTTATGGATCTCTCACAGTCTGTATGAGAGACTCGAACGAAAAAATTGTTAATTCAGAGATCCGAGTCTCTCACAGAGGGACTGAATGAATAAAACTGAAAAATTGAGAGAGCCGAGTCTCTCGTAGAACGACTGGGATCTCTGAAATATGTTGAACTTAGAAAATTCTAACCATGTCTGTCGAGACAACACTTATTGAGAGATTCGAGTCTCTCGTTCAGAGATTCGAGTCTTTCGTTCAGAGATTTGAGTCTTTCGTTCAGGGACTGGATACGAAATGAAGATTTCTCTATGAGCGACTCGAGTCTCTCGTTCAGAGACGCTAAACAGTTTTTTTGACACTCTCGACATTCTCTCCCAGCGACACCAGAGAGACTCGATGAGAGACGGAGACTCGAGTCTCGCTTTCAGAGACTCTGAGAGAGTGAACATTTTTATCTCGGGTAGTCTAATAATTTTTGTATGAAAAGTATTATGAAACACCATGGTAATTATTGTAATATTTTTCTCTGCTCGTATCAATCAGGATCTATCTTCAAGATTTGTTTGTTTTTATTAACATTAAAACACCCAAAATTTCACAAAATTTTTAGTTACCTAAAACGCGTTTCGATACCCAAGGTGTCAACCCCAGTTATAGACTCGAGTAGTTTAGTGTTTATTTAGTTGAATTCTCCAGTACTCTAATTGATTTTTTATGCATGTATATAGATGATTAGTAAATCAATCGCGGAACGGAGTTTAGTACATTAGTTTTCATCAAACTTTGCTGAGATATCAATAAAAAACAAAAAATTAAAGCCATTTTCAATCAAATTAATATTATAGTAAGGTCGGGAATCGATCCCGTACTAATTTGATCTGGGGGCAAATCAATAGAAGCAATACTTCCAAAGGGGCTCGCGAAAACTGATGAAAACAAACAAAGAAAAAAGCTCAGGAAGTCAGTTATGACTCACCAAATAATTGCAAGCTAAAAGCCCTTGAAGAACTGATTAACAGACTAAATCCACCGACTCAAAATGCTATAGAAATACGGCTGTTAAAAAATTTCAGTTCTCGCATCAATAACGCAGTGAAGAAAAAAATCAGAAAGAACTCAAAATTTTGATGATTGAGTAAAGAATATTGAAGATTTTCGGAATCACTACATAGTATAAAACAAAGTCGCTTCCCGCTGTCTGTCCCTATGTATGCTCAGATCTTTAAAACTACGCAACGGATTTTAATGCGGTTTTGTGCATTTAATATAGATCAATATGGCCCTTTACAGCAAGTTATTTAAATGAATATTTTTGAAAATATTACAGATTTAAAATGCAGGGACATGGCGGTTGCGGCGGCGGTTTGTATTGTCTAATGACAAAAAAACTGTGAATGTTGTATATAAAGACATTCTGTAGTATATTTAGTATGTTCAGGGGGTGTCTTTTTAAGATTTCCCCTCCTCGAGAATAATTTACAAAGAAAAAATATATTCAGTATCAGCATTGCACCCGTGCGAAGCTGGGGCGAATGGCTAGTTATATATAACCGAAACCGAACTTGCAGCCTTTGAATTTGGCCTTTGACCTTTTATTGAAACAGTTTTTTTGTAAAATAGAATAAAAATATTATAAACATTGCTTCATATATCCTTAATTTATCTATAGGCCAGCAGAAGACGTTACAATAAATGAATTTTCTTTAATGAGGTAGTGCTCCAGATGCTTCTATTTATTTTATTTGCTGATATTATTGTTCAGGATTTACATCATCGTGTGTATAATGGTTGTGCAAGAAATTGTGTAATAAATGTGGTTATCAAACGTTTTAAGTAATTTAACGATTATTACTAATATCCTTATGGTAATAAATTAGTCAGTTTGCCCTTGCATTTCGTAATAATAATAATGCAGTTTCGAAGAAAGTTCTGGTGAAAGAGTCCATTACCGCACCGTCCGTGGTCGCGGGCAAAAATTCACGCCATATTACCACTAATTACACTAATATATGCATATATATTGTCAACTTCATTGGAATTAATCAAGTGTGAACAAGGATACTACAATCAGGAGCGCCGTTCGTTGTCAATGATCGACACGAAGTAAAAAGATGAAAATCCATAAGCAACTCAATGAAGGAAATAAACAGTTAGTTGGAATATAGCTAGGCTATTAGACCTGTAGTTTTGAGGTGCCATATGTAATTGTCCAGCGAGCATTTATTTTACTTTTCTTTAACCTTAAAACTTGCAAAAATGACCGTTTAAGGTTGCGCCTAATCGCTTGTACAATAACTCGACTGCTGTAGATAAATAAAACGTTTCGATGATAATAATCGTTGTTTCATTATTATTATTAATATCAATATTATCATTATTAGTTTCACGTCACCCCCCAAGTACTTGTACTCGAACTAATTAATTTCGTCCTTGCCGAAACTAAATAAATTTATTCAAACTGATTGTTGTTATAAATTCGCGAGTCACACAAATGATCCCGACACTCAGTACGGGACTTAGGTAGATACTAAGTGATAAGCTGCTGCTGAGTGTTACACACACTTCGATTTCGGTTTCGTATAATTGATTTTTACCGCGGAAAAAAAAATGCTGTTCGCCTTTCTAGGTTTAGTGATATGGTGAGTTCAGTTCTTTCTTGCGACAATTCGATTTTTTTTAAAGCTGACATCGGTTTTTTAGGGTTTGCCGGCTCATATTGGCCGTACCATTTCCGGAAGATTTCATTTTCGGTGTTAGCACGGCGGCTTATCAAAACGAAGGGGCCTGGAATACCAGTGGTGAGTCTTATTTGCTTCTTTTTTTAAAGACCACTTAAATATTTGGAACACGACATGTAGGTATTACGTAAAACATGTTGAGTACAATTTCGTAGGTAGGTACTCCATAAAGTTGTTTAGGATAAGATTCTTTTAAAATGCTGTGACCGAATTTCGAGAACTAGTTTTTACACTTTGTTGATATCTGCATCGAGAATACTTTACCTATAACACTTTCCTCTAGTATAATGTGACATATTTTAATCATATATACGATAATTCTGCAAAATCCGACGGAAGTTCAGTCAATGAACCAACACAGATTTACTTCTACAGTCAAAATCCGTTATAACGACACCGAAGGGACCACTCATATTTGGTCGTAAAAACCGATAGTCGTAATAGCCGGTGACGTTATTAAGTACTTAATACCTATTATTGAATGTGTCATTAATATATTCATATATAAAATAAAACTACATTTTATTTATTTTACATGAAACTTATTATAAAAAGACATTACGTACATATAATTATCATTTTTCTATATTAATAAAATCTGGAATTTTAGTCTGTTTCGAACACTTCTGTCGTGCGTAGGTACAGACTTTGTAGTTCACGTTTAATTTTAATTAATGTATCATCATAATTTCCCTGCATATGAAACTGTTCATTAGAACAAAAAACAATTTGTCGTAATACACTGACAGCATTGAGACCATCATTCAAAGTTGGCACTGTAAATTGTTCTTCAGTCTCTTCCTGTTCGTCATTTTCCTCTTGAACTTCTTGTACAATATCATCTTCCGTAGCTGGTGAACAAATTGCAATAGAGTTATCTGCATCAATAAAATCTTTAGCTTCAGAGTATTACAATAGACCCTAAATTCGATACGTTTTTGTTTACTTTTGCGATCTTAATGGTCATTTACTGTACCAGATGTGGATACTGTTACCTGTTAAAATGTTTACAATACAGCTGAGTTATGATATCTAAAATACTTTATAACAATTATAAGACGCAACGTCAGCATGCAACGCATGTAAGAATGGTAATCTCTTCAGGGAATTGCATTGTTCTGATATTAATTAGCTTACTAAGATATTGAATAAGAAATGTAATGTTAATAATTGTGATTAANTAATAAACGCTCTAGGCACAGTTTTCAAATTTGTATCAGGTAATTTAGACGCAGGAGATGGCGAGAGATATGATCAAGCCATTAATAATTTAAAGGTAAATCAACAAAATATTATAAGTCATTTTAATAAACAACTTTCGATGAACAAGGAACTAATAAATAATTACGAAAACGTACTTAAAAACATTTCTAGTAATTTTGATATAATACAACGTTCAATAAATGCAGCAGTAGAACACTCCGACCTTTTTAATACAATAAACATGTTGAAATTAACTATAGTCGAATTAAAAAATTTAATCACGGAAATTCAAACAGGAATCAGTTTCGCACTAATGAATCATTTACACCTCAGTATAGTTAGCGAAGATCAGATTTTATTAATAAAACAAAAATTAACCAAAGTTCATGGTGAGAACAAATTTTATTCGAATGATAACATTTTGTTTACACAGACAATTTCTGTAGATTTTTATATTACTGAAAAACATATCGTATTTTTACTACATGTCCCAATTTTAAATGAAATAACGTTTAACCTATACCATTTATATTCAGTACCCACCGTATCCAACACCACCATCATACCTCCTACATCATATGTAGCCATTCATGAAAACAATATTTATTATTTAAAACGAAAATGTAATTTAATTCAAAAACAGTATTTTTGTTCAAACGATGATATAGAGAAAAACTATCAACAGGACACATGTATTAAAAATTTATTACAAATTAAAGATGATCCCAAATGTAGACATATTCCGGTTGAAATTAATGACATCTTAGTGGAAACAATTAGTGACGAAAGATACCTTGTAATTCTTCCGAAAGAAACACCAATTCATATTAAATGCGAAACAGAACAGATACACCGATTGAAAGGAGTATTTTTAATAACACTTCCTTATTCTTGTTCATTGATAGCCAAAGACTTTGTTTATATAAATTTACAAGAATCAATACCTGAAAGACCAGTATTTTTACCACCATTATTTGAAAAGCCTATAAATGTCAAACCTATACGATTAAACCTCAAGGCAGTTCGTCTTGACGAATTAGCAAAATTAACTCTTCAGACTACCGATCCAATTGTGTATTTACCAGATGAAAGTTTTTGGACAAACGGTTCAAATATATGTTTAATTGTGTTATTTATAATCATTGTAATTATATGTACTTTTGTATTTTGTTATAATAGAAATAAGATTAAATGTTTTAATAAATTTAAGAGACCAGAGGTCAGGGAAAAAGATAGTTCACAAGCGTTTCCTTTACCTCAAAGAACAATGTAAATTCGTTGCCGAAATTTTTTGGGCTTCACCCCTAAAATTTCATTTTATGGGCGGAGGAGTTATGATATCTAAAATACTTTATAACAATTATAAGACGCAACGTCAGCATGCAACGCATGTAAGAATGGTAATCTCTTCAGGGAATTGCATTGTTCTGATATTAATTAGCTTACTAAGATATTGAATAAGAAATGTAATGTTAATAATTGTGATTAATTAAAATCAGTTGTTGTTCCACTGTTAACCTGTTAACATCTTGATTGAATTATAATTAACGCACATAGTGTATTATTGTTTTCTTTCAACGGGGCAGCAGCTCATGTTTTTCTTAGCCAGTCGAATTTCAATCTTAAAAATAAAAAGCGTTTTTAAAAAGTAAATTCGGCGGCAGAAAACATTAACTGCTGGTCGTTCTAACAGATATAATTGTCCGAAAATATCAGTTAAATGTAGTCGCTTAAAGAGATATGTCGTAATAAGCAATGTCGTAAAAACCAGTGTTTTTTTATAAGGCGGTCTAACACAATTCAGCCAGGACTTATGATTTTGCTCAATATAACCGGAATGTTGTTCTAAACGATGTCCTAGTAAACGATTTTGACTGTATTTTGCTAATTATTTTCTTATTTATCATTTTTAGAAATTCATAAATATTCAAAAGTTTAGCCCTTTTTTATATTTAGAACATAATCTTTGATCAGTAATTTCCCTTATATTTATATTTTTACCATAAAGAGTTAAAGTTAAACAGCCTACGACAGGGATGACGAACCAATGGCACCCTTTCCATTAAAGGCACGCGATACAATATTTTGGGCACGTCACTAATATTTCTGTGATTGATTGTTTAATCAAGGAATTTTCAGCGAGATTTTCTCAGTTCAGAGAATTATTATCAGAAAAACTCAAGTTTATTATGTACCCTGATGGGACTACATTTGATAAATTGAATTTGTCTCAATTCGATTGGTTTGAAATTGAAGAATTTGAAATGCAGCTGATTGACTTCCAGTCTAGTTCAATATAGATTCAAAAATTAGTTGAAACAAGGAAAGATTTAGTAATAATTGAAACAGAAAGATTGACAGGTAATACAAAATGCTAAAATAACAAAATTTTAGAAACATAAAATGCGTTATCAAACACATTTAATTATTTGAAGAAGCCGGCCTATGCTATTTTAACAATGTTTTCATCAACCTATGCCTGCAAGTCATTACTTTCAGAGATGAATAACATTAAAAACTCAGTTAGAAATTGATTACTCCGGTTCAGCATGAATTCTGCTAAAATTAACATCTTACAACCGTAACATAAGTTATTTGTCATCTAATCGGCAACAACAGAAGTCACATTAATTTTACATTAATTTAAATTACACCTATAATTTAAACATTGCAAAATGTTCCAATTTTTTTTTGTAGTAAATAAAGAATTTTGAGTTGATATTATTTATTATTATTATTCTCCCAATAATCACAGAGACAAAATATTTGATGGCAAGTATGAGTAAAGTTCTCTTTATAAAAATGGCACATCAATACGTAAAGGTTCGCCATGCCTGACCTATGACAATTTATGTCAACTTCTCACTTGGTCTTGGACAATGGTTGCTACCAGAACTTTTCTTTTCCTTACTTTCCAACAACTTAATTAGAGTTTTGGTTCTTTTCTGGTCACTTAATAACCGTTTAACAAATATTTTCCGTTTCTACTAGGAAAGGGACCGAGTATATGGGACACTTTAACTCACGAACGTCCCGAACTTATTTTGGATCGGAGCAATGGAGATGTAGCCGACAACAGTTACAACAAGTGGGAAGAAGATATTGAATTGCTTAACGACTTGGGTGTTCAATTCTATCGTTTCTCAATAGCATGGACCCGAATATTTCCAGATGGCGAACCCATCAATCCCAATCAAGAGGGCATAAATTTCTACAACAACTTTTTGGATCAACTAACTTCCAACGGTATACTTCCGATGGTTACCATTTTCCACTGGGACATTCCGGAGAGCTTGCAAAAGATGGGAGGTTTCATGAACCCACGAATAATCGATTATTATACGGCATATGCGAAAGTTCTATTCGACCACTTCGGAGATCGCGTTAAATATTGGATAACTATCAATGAACCTAAACAGTATTGTCAGGAAGGTCACGGGGAGGCCAGTTACGCTCCGGCAATTAATATTTCAGGAGTAGCTGATTACCTCTGTGGCCACAATATCATAAGGGCCCACGCTGCAGTTTATCACATGTATGACGACTACTACAGATCTCTTTATGATGGTGAGTGCATTATACGTTATCCAAATGGCATGTCTGAGGTCAGAAGCATTTCGGAGACGATATGCTGACATTGCAGAAGTCATTGACTCATTTTCGAAATGTATTTTACTATGCCAAATAGCCTTATGTTTCGATGATAGAGTCATTCTACTACGACATTGTTTTGACGTAACGTAAGACTTTGAGATACAGTTTATCAATAACTTAGCATGTCTTGGATAAGAGTGGTCAATGAATTACGAAAATTACTTTCTGTCCTAGTTATTTGAACCTTGCTTTTATCTTCGAGGAACTAACAATCGAAATTTGATATTTTTCCACTAGCATTTGATGACTAATAACCGCACAAAAGGTCATATTAGGACACTGCCTTAAGTGTACTAAAAAATGGTTCTCTAATACAGAGAATTGTTTCGTATCATTTTAGAGTTGTTGTTAAAATGAAAATTGAAATGTGACCAAAAAATTTATAGGTGAAGTTGGAATAAGTCTAAGTGGTCATTGGTTCGAAGCATACACAAGGGACGACGAAGATGCTGCTGAAAGAATGAGACAGTTTTACGTAAGTCTTAAAAAAAAAATTACGTAATTCCTATTTATACTTTATTTCTTACAATTGTAATGATTTTCCAGCTTTCATTTACTAATTAACCAAAGAAAAGTTGGCGATAACTTTTACTACAATGAATTTAATTACAATATTGCGCATGTGACTGTTTTAGGTGGGTTGGTGGGCAAATCCCATATTTTCATCCGAAGGAGATTATCCAAAGGTAATGAAAGAATTCATATCCAAAAGAAGTTCACAACAAGGTTACCCGTGGTCACGGTTACCAGAATTTACGGAAGATGAAATCAATTACATACGAGGAACTGCCGACTTCTTTGGTTTTAATCACTATACCACCTTCATGGCACAAAATGCTGAAAGCGACGATTTGACGGTATCTTACGCGAATGATCATCAAGTAATATTCGCTTCAGACCCCACCTGGGCCAGAGGTGCATCTGCATGGCTTTCAGTAAGTGTAATTTACTATGACAAAGGACAATTTTATTGTTACTCTCTTTGCAGGTGGTTCCTTGGGGTTTTCGCAAATATCTTAAATGGATTAAGGATACGTATAGTAGTCCGATCATATACGTTACAGAGAATGGATTTTCAGACCACGGAGGCCTTCATGACCCCGAAAGGGTTCAGTACTATAAAGTACGTCACAGTTAAATAGTAACCTGTTAAAGAAAATAATTGATTTCTCGTTTTATAGCAATACATGGAAGCACTACTAGAAGCTATCTATATTGATGAAGTTGAGGTGAAGGGATACGCCCCTTGGACCTTAATGGATAACTTTGAATGGTTTGATGGTTACGTGTAAGTATTTTTAAATTTATGTACTCGCTTATTAAATAATACTAAATGCTCTCGGAATGTAATAAAATTTTCCTTTTAATTTTAGAAATAGATTCGGACTTTATGGAGTGGACTTTAGCGATCCTAATCTACCAAGGAAACCGAAGGATTCGGCAAAGTACTACAAAGAAGTTATAAAATCAAGGCGGCTAGTGTAAAATTCATATCATCATCAATCGCGTATATTTCTAATCTCACTTTATCGAGTTTCTTTAAATTAAAGAGTAGCGTTGTTAGGAGACCGATTTGTACGCATTGCAAAATCTGTTAAGTTTAAACTTTGAAAAAATATGTATATAATATATATTTATAAAACGAAGTGATAGCTTTTTTCTTCGCTCCATAGTGATTTTTTAACAGCAAACTTCTGCATCGTATTAAGAAAAAAGCATGAAAAAGTAGTAACAGTATTAAAGGTAAATTTATATGGTTGCTTGGTATTATTATAATTTAAACTTTGCGAGCAATGTTGTTATTGTAATATTATTGTAGTAATTATTATTGTATGTGATTGTAGTATGAATTGCGAATGTTAAAAAAAAGACTGTAGAAATATTTTCACTGTCTAGTCTTTATTATACCGAATACCCAAATTTAAATCGAAACAAGTGGAAGAAACATTTATAAATTATTTAATTATCAATAATCCAAAACAAAATTTAAAATAACACATTTTCTTTTACGTCAAGGCAGTGCTTTATCAACAGATTAAGTGGTTTGCTGTGACTTTGCAAATAATAATGATTGGTACCTAATCAGAAGGTCGTGTCAGTCCAAACACATATTCAGAGGCATGAACTACACACTACAGGTTTAGACTAGGGGTGGCAGCCCAAATGATCTTATGGGCTACATTGGAAATAAATCATAACGCCTCGTGCCGTATGTAAAATTATTAGATTTACATTCAGTGTGGAAGTTTTTTTGAAGTGATAACTGCAAACTCGTTAATAAAACAAGCAAAATTTTTCTTACAAGGATATTGTTTTAAAATCAAAAATAATTTTCTCGTAGTATGAACAGTTAATGTTTTTTTCTTTAATACATTGGTTTTCATTACTTTAACCATTATGATACATCATCATCATAATAGAATCGTCAGTTCGAAGACTAGTTGGACACGCACCTCCATTGTTTGCTATCCTGAGTAAATATTCCCTAAAACTAGAACATCCCACATTCTTAACCGTTTGTGAGCAGTAATCTAATCTAGGTCTACCTCTACTTGTTATATACAGTATAACATTCAAATTTAATTTTCCAAATACAATATGAATGCGATAAAGACTCATGTCATTCTAAACGACCTATACATAATAAATATGGCCACAGTATATAAATTAGTTGAATATAAAACACAAAGATCCTTTTGACGTCTGTAATTGCAAAATACAAGGCATTTATGACTATTTAATACCTATTTTTTCAAATTAACATTATTTGCTTAATTTTATTCAGAATGATGCTGTTACTATTTAATAAATTAATTGTGAAATTCAGTCTAACAACTTTTCATGAATGACAGAAAGAAAAATCTGAAAATTAATATTATAATATAAAATGAGAAGTGCAATTTTAATTCTATCTTACACAAAGTATATATAATTGAGTGCTGTGGAATGTAATTAAATAAACATTTAAAACCCAGTTTCTACCCCTAGTTCTATATACGAAAAAAGGCCCTTTTTTTTTAAAACCCAAAATTCCACAAACCTTTAGAAACCTAATACGTGTTTCGACTTCCGAGGTGTCATCCTCATGCAGAGACTTGAGTTAGACTTCCTGAGGATGACACCTTGAGTGAACAAAACGTTTTGTGGAATTTTAGATTTTAAGTGTTTATTTATTTTAAATTAATTGTTATTTACCAATTAATTACTTTTTGTTCAATACGCATAAAAAAACATTGAAAACATAAAGTGGTTGTTACACAAAAAGGCATGACGCTTTTTGTTGAATTTATTTGAAGTGTGCCGCTTTCATTACTGTAAAACTACGTTTTCTTATCAATGTAACTATTCAAGTACGTACTACTTCATTTACATGTTTATTATTATAACTGCCGAAGTAATTTCTAATTACTATACACCGTTTTATAATAAAAACTAATTAAGTACGCAAAAAATACAAATATAATATTCAGTAGTAGTACTTTATTGAAGCAATATACGAATTTTTTTACTATTTTATCTATAGATATTCACTATACACTAGAGGAAGTTTCAAAAATTGTAAAAAATATTCGTGTTTAGAAATGGGTACTTTAATAAATAAAAAACCAGCCACAAACAGAAAGGACTCTTGAAAATAAAACGAGCGACATCACAAATCATAGGTACCAAATCAAGAAATTGAAAATTATAAATGTATAAAACATACTTTTGATGACAATTTTAGAATTTTAGGCAAAACAAAAAAGTTTATTTGAAAGTTGCAAATATAAATGAATAGAATATTACATTACGTATTAGAAGTACGATAAATAATATCTACTCTTGTTAAATTTAAACTTTTAAATTTACATAATGTAATAAACATCTAAACATTCAATGCCATGATTTAGAAAATATATTTTGTGGCTTGATGAATCTACGAAATAATTGTACCGAAAGTTGGAATGTAATATTTACCATAATAAGAATTTAAAAACTTAACTATCAATTATAATTGTTATTATAGGGAGTATATATGTATATTTAAGCACAATGTTAAATGCACATTTTTTTTAACATTGTTTACATATATGTTTATAGTTTAAACTATCAAACTACCTACTTCGACTTCTTGAATTATTGTACATAGTTCAAGAGCGATTTGATTACGAATTAGAGTAGTACTTTCAAAAAAAGGCAGTACAACTAAATCAGGTCAATTAATTGATTTAAAGAGTTCGATTCAAATTTGAACAATTCGGCATATCTTCATTTCTTTTTGATTAATTGAACTGATAGGATATCCTCAAACCTTACACATTAACATTTTTAATCGTAAATGTTATTACTGTTTGCTACTGGTGAGTGATAGTTTTCTGCTAAGAAATCATGGTTCTGTTCTTACAATAACCGCTATATGTTGTTATATTAATAAACTAATAAAATGTGCAAAGAAGAATCAAAACAGGGAAGGAATCCCTTAGAACCGTAAGTATTTTGTTAGCAGCCAAGGTATTTTAAGGTTTCAATTATTATTTTCGATACGTTGTTTAAATTGTGTTTTCTAAAGCAAACGGTTTTGTAGTAATTTTCAGCCACGATCACGACGAAAAGCTGAAAAAATACCTCCAGTACCTTTCTTTAAATTGGTAAGAGAAACTGATTTCATACCTTGACACTATATTTTACGCAAAACACACCCGCAGTAATCTTATGAAAAATGAATTTCAGAGGAATCGTCTAAATTTTTGATAAATTCTTCATAATCTCTATCAAAAATCCTACTGGACTTAGTCCTTCATATTGCGTATTTTTATAGTTAAAGGGTATCATCCCTCCTACTGCAAGCCAAGTAAAGTTTGTACAGATAAACATAGAAAACAATTCATCTAGCTAACTATCATAGATCTTACTGTTTGTAAATTCAGTATTTGAACCGCAATTAACCCTCTTCAGGGTCAGACTATTTGTAAAATCCGACAGAACTAATACCTTCACGTCATAGGCGTCTGGAGGTACATGGAGGTACAGTACTCTCTAGCGGCAAAAATACGCAAAATAGAGGGTTGTATTAGGGATTATGAGAGCTTTAACATACCCATCAAAAAATTTAAACCCATTTTTCAACTGAATTCAAAAAAGGAGCTTCTTAATTAGATTGTATTTTTTTACTGTTATATTGGGTAGGATAGTCCCATTTGCATAAATTTAAATAAAATCTCCACCTCTAAGGGTGAAAAATCAGTTTTAGTTTAAGTTTGTATGTATTGGCAAGGTTTTTACAGCTAAGTAGGTATATTTTAATTATCATAAGATTAATGTGGGATTCCTTAGTTTATCAAAAATTTTGCATTTTATCACAATAATATATATTTTTTATAGTTCACATACGCATCGGCCGTGGACAAATTTTTGCTAATATTAGGGGTAATATGTACTGGGGGTAGTGCCGTATGTCGCCCCCTTAACATGTTGGTATTTGGAAGATTGACAGGAAAGGTAATAAATTATGCATCTGAGATGATGTACAAAGATCAATTAACTGAAGAGGAGAAAGAAAAGTTGCTGAATACATTGATTGAAGCCGTAACGACTTTTGCAATTTTTAACAGTATAATCGGATTGGCCATGCTTGTTTTCACTCATTTATCGGTTCTTATATTTAATTATACCGCTCTAAAACAGGTGAGTTTAAAAGAGCATTTATCACAATTGAATAATATAAATGTAATGTAGTAGTCAGTCAGACATTTTATACCTTTGTTTAAAATAAGGAAAATCAACGTAAATGAAATATTTTGATGTATTGTTGTCTTAACTATTCCTACAACTTGATTATACATTTATTCTGAAAAATTGATGTGCCCACAAAACATAAATACAAACCCTAATATCTTAGACATAAAAATTCTACAACTACAAAAGTTTATTTATCTTTTATTTATTATTCTGTCAAGGTTCTCCTAGTGGATATTAATTCGTTTTTTTTTCTGGTAAATTTTATAAACTACACACGTTAATTGTTTTGTATTAATTGCAGATCTACAAAGTGCGAACTCTTTATTTTAATAGCGTTCTGAATCAGGATATTTCCTGGCACGATGTTAATCAAACGGGAGATTTTGCAAGTCGTATGTCAGAGTAAGTCTACCCAGTTTTTGGTACATTACCTACCTATTTTTCTTTCAAATAATAAGTAAAATTTAAACAGTTCTAATTATTAAGTTATCTTTTTTTGGTAAAATAGTGACATTATTATGCAGCAACATAAAGACAAATATTCTGAACCAACCCTAAAATTTACTTATCTAATTAATTATCATATTCATTCCTTTGTATTATTTATACAGAAAGAACAATCCAAATTTATTTGATTGTACTGTCACAATCCACAACAGACGTTGTTACGTTGCCATTTTCCTATTAATGTATTTTTAAGGGATTTGAATAAGTTTGAAGATGGAATTGGAGAAAAGGTGCCCCTTTTTCTACACTCCATGTTCACCACGGCAGCATGCATTACATTAGCTTTAATAAGAGGCTGGGAACTTGCCCTAGTGTGCCTGTCTTCTCTTCCACTTACTCTTATATCGTTAAGTGCAGTTTCAAAGGTATGTACCTATACTTCATTTACTTTCTCTAGCGATGTGCCCTTTCCAATGTCATGGATGCGCGCTGGCAAAATCGTACGTAGGGAGAAAAAAGCTCATTATACTCTGGACTCTTGTTCATTAAACATACTTTTTTAATACAGTACCTGCCAAAGGTTTTGTTCAATCACGAAAAGTAGTGCGAGTCGAAAACAAGCGTTAAAGCCTTTAATATGTCTTCAAATATAAATAAACATCTCGTTGATAGTTTCAGTAGTAATTGGTACTAATAACAGCACATTTGAGCAATGCAATTGTAGTGGATAAAATGATCAATTTTTCCGTGCAGTACTGTACGGATTATACGCTCCTCACCGGTTAAGAGTTTCGCCGAGGGTTGTCTCCTTCCTTTTCTGGCCTAGTGCTGTTCTTTTCTACTTTGCGCCAGTCAAACTGAAGGTCACATCGCTACAGAAAGTAAACGAAGTAAATTAATATTGATCTGTAACATTTTTCCCAAGAAAATTCTTCGTGTATTATGCGCGATAACCAATAATAATTAAATGAATAAATAACACACTTGGAAGTTGTTAACTAATTAATCAAACTCGATGAGTATTTCGCCCTGTTAAGGGTGAAAAAAATTCATGATGGTTCACCAAGAGCTAACGGCAGATACCTTTTATTATTTAATCAATAATAATTATTTTTTGAGTAGATCACCTCAAAAATAGCTAAAGAGGAGCTTGACGCTTACGGGGCTGCAGGTGCTATAGCTGAAGAGGTTCTAACAAACATAAGAACAGTTGTGGCTTTTGGAGGAGAGTCGAAGGAATTGACTCGTTATGAGAACCAGCTCGTTTATGCTCGAAACAATAACATCAAACGTTCCTTACTGTCCGGTATAGGATTCGGACTGTTATGGTTTTTCAATTATGCCATTTACGCCTTGGCTTTTTGGTATGGGATTAATCTTATTCTAAAAGAAATGAATTTGCCCGAAAATGAAAGGATTTACACTGCTGGCAACATGGTAACGGTAAGTATCAAAGATCTTATCTTACAATGCGAATGAGAAATTCCATAACACCTTAATGTTTTGGTTCGTACATAATAGATGAGCAAATGATTTGGATTTAACCCAGTCATTTGTTGTTCTCAATTTTAAGACAAGAGGCTCATTAAACGATTACTGTTTTCTGTAGGTTTTTTTCAGTGTCATGGAAGGAAGTACAAATTTCGGAATAGTCGCGCCTTACATTGAAACCTTCGGTATAGCCAAGGCTGCAGCGGCTAAAGTGTTTTCGGTAATAGATAAAAAGCCAGTTATTAATCAATCAAAGTTAAACGGAAAGAAAAAGTGGGACGTTAAGGGGAGAATTGTTTTCAAAGATGTACATTTTCACTATCCATCTCGACAAAACGTAAAGGTACTTAAAATTCCAATACAATATGATGTTTTATATGTAGTAACAAAATATTAAGAGAATAATAATATTCTTCAAGATTTTGGAAGGAGTAAATCTTACCATAGAACCAGGTCAAACAGTAGCACTGGTTGGGAGTTCCGGGTGTGGAAAATCAACATGCATTCAACTGATACAAAGATTTTACGATCCAGTCAGGGGAACAGTAAGAACATTTTTTTATATACCTGCAAAGAACAGTCATAAAATTAGAAGAAATATCCTTTATCGGACTTTTTTACTTAAATATTATTTGTTTTGCTCAACAACAAGTATATCTATAATTATCACCATCATCATAAGGTTGTCAGCCCTAAAACTGGTTGTACACCCATCTCTATACTTTAATTACTATCCTAAGCTTATTTTCGCATTTCCCTAAAACTAGAACATCTCACATAGTTAACGATTTGCGAATACTAGGCCTACATCTCTTCCTCTTAGCTCCTGTTTCTACTTCTAATATGTCTCTAACTCCAGACATTCGCCTGTAACAATCAACGAATTTTTTTGATTAAAGGCGACTCGACCCTGCGTTATCCTCTATTTTATATCTCTATTGTTTCTTGCATCCTGAATTATCTGACTTCCTAGATACCTAGATGCCTCCTATGTTTATATTCGTTCTTTCCCTACTTTTTCTTGTTCAACTGCTCCTTGATAGATGTTAATATTACTTGATTCTTTGCCCTCCTATATCTATGCCTAATATATCTATTGTTAGAAAAATAAATATTTAAATTTGTTCGAGATCTTCTGACAAAAATCTGTCCCTATATAGATAACATTAGACGGTACGGATTTGAAAGACTTCAATCTGGTGTGGTTACGAAGCAATTTCGGAGTTGTTGGCCAAGAGCCGGTCCTTTTTGGAACCACAGTAGCTGAGAACATCCGAATGGGTAACAGATCGGCTACGAAAGATCAAATAGAAAAAGCTGCGAGAAGGGCAAACGCGCATGACTTTATAGTAACGCTTCCACAGGGCTACGACACCCTTGTTACAGGGGCACAGTTATCAGGAGGTCAAAAGCAAAGAATTGCCATAGCTAGGGCCTTGGTCAGGGAACCTGCTATCTTGTTGTTAGACGAGGCAACATCAGCACTGGATACTGACAGTGAGGCTAAGGTTCAAGCAGCTCTTGATATAGTAAGTAATAAGTAAACAATCCTTTAAGGATTTTCACAATTCGTTTTTATTTAACATGTAATATGTTTCGTCAAAAATTAGCTTCTTCACGTATGTTTGACGAAACGTGTATCAGATTAATTAAAAGAAAAATGTGAATATCTACTCTTTGTGTTTTTCCTTGATTACTTATGCAATTGTTTTTAATAAAATGCGACATACAACAAATATAAATGTTTGACAGGCGAGTAAGGGTTGTACAACGATTATTGTGGCGCATCGGTTGTCCACTATAAGAGGTGCTAACAAAATAATTGTGTTCTCAAACGGTAATATCGTTGAAGAAGGAACATATCAAGAACTAATAGAGAAAAAAGGTCACTTTTATGAACTCGCTCTCAGCCAAGCTGTTGGGCCCGATCCTGACTACGAAGGTACGAAATGTTACACGAATGTGATCGTCACTTTTTTCGTAAAATAAAATCATTTTTCGTTTAAGACATAAATGAAGATGAACCTCTAAATAACACCGACGTTCTTGAAGTAACGCACGCAATGGACGAAATAGAAGAAGAATACGACTACGCCGTAAGCATAGTATTAATTAAAATAATTCGAAGTGGTCTGTATTTTGTCGAAACTGCCAGACGCGGATCGCGATTTCGATCTTTTTGAATCTCATCAGCGCGTCGCAGACAGTTCCGACAGAACACAGACCAACTTTTACCTGCTGTCTTAACAGTGCGTTTTAGAAAATACTACAAATGGCGCAGTAAACGCCATCTGTAGTACGATGCTACATTTTAGGATTACGTATGCTCCAACAAGGTCCACTTGTGTGGATATCTACTTGCTGAAAACGAATCCCGGCGTAGCCAACCTCAACGTGATAGGCACGTTAGCTTAATCGAATAAAATAATTCGAAGTGGTCTGTATTCTGTCGAAACTGCCAGACGCGGATCGCGATTTCGATCTTTTTGGATCTCATCAGCGCGTCGCAGGCAGCTCCGACAGAACACAGACCAACTTTTACCTGCTGCCTTAACAGCGCGTTTTCGAAAATACTACAAATGGCGCAGTAAACGCCATCTGTAGCACGATGCTACATATTAATTGTTATAATACATAAATAGTTGCCAGGTTTTATTAGAAAATAACACAGTTAATGTATGTGAACTGATGCTGTCATGATTCGGGTCAGAGGTCCTTCCATCTCAGATGCTGAATATGGATGCTAGGAAGCAGCTCCAACCAATGACGACCTTTAGACTCGAATCGGGACAGCAACAGTTCACCAACTGGCCGCGAAAGCCTTTACTAATTTGTGACGTGATTCTAGGATCGATATTTATCTTACAAGAAGAAGGCAAAAGCCAGCCCTTCATCCTTATGGTCGGTGGTAAGAATGAACAAGCCAGAATGGTGGCAAATATCACTTGGTTGTTTAACTTCCATCATTACCGGATGTGCGCTTCCGATTTTTGCTGTTCTTTTTGGCGATATTTTGGGTGTAAGGAACTTTTGAATGCATTCTATGCAAAATATTCTTTTTTGGGAACAGTGTTCACTTTTGAAAAGCGTACATGCAAAAGAATCACCCGAAATCTAGATAAAATTGAATAGGGACCTTTTTGTAACATAGTTTGTCTCGTCATGTTTTACCTTTACAGAAAGACTTCGCCTGTTTGAATAATACCTAATAGTTAAACTTTTATGAACTAGGGCAAAGTTAAAAAAATGGATTCAATTTTTGAAAATTTATGGCCAAAAGAATTGGTAAAGTGTTTATATTTTCACTAAAACGAAGTCTTTTCATTGCTTTGAAATTATAGTTACTGTATCGAAGAAGCAAACTTTATACATTTATTTATTTAATTACTTCACCATGTCACAATAAAGCGAATTTATATGTTTATTAATGGGATATAGTTAATTTAATCTGATATCTAAAATGAATTATACAATTTAGAATGACTTGTCAATAGTTTAGCTTATCATCATAAGACCGTCAGTCATGAGACTGGTTGGGGACACGCACCTCCACTCTTCTATCCTGAGCTAATTTTCGCATTTCCTTAAAGCTAGAACAACCCACATCCTTAACAATTAGCGAACAGTAATCTAATCTTGGTCTACGTTTATCCCTCCTAAATCCCGTTTCCGCCTCTAATATGTCTCTGACTAGACCTTCATGCCTGAGAAGGTGTCCTACCAATCTATCTCACCTATTTCTTATTGACTTCTGTTCTCCTATTCTTTCTAATACCTCTTCATTTCTAACCTTCTCTATCCACGGTATCTTCATCATTCGCATGTAACACCACATTTCTAACGCTTCTAACCTTTATTTTTCCGCCGCGCCAACTGTCCATGTTATAGTTAATTAATAACCTAATAGTACAATCTTAATCTTCCTAATTAAATAATTGGGGAACGTAGTAATGGCAGGGTGAGTGAAGACGGTAAGCCGTCTCACTACCCTGCATCTTCGTGATTTTGTATTCGACTCACGACTCCCAAAATCTTGTCTTGACTATCATCGATTATAAACTATTCATTTCGCTATTTAAACGGTTGCTAATTGACCTACTAACTCATAGTAGGTAAGTAGGTGTTAGCTTGCAGTTTTAAATAAACAATTTAGATGTATCAACTTTGGATAAGTGACCTGAATATGAATTTGTGGATACTATGTAACATTACAAGTTTATTCGTTATTTATGGATGACTCCATAAGATGATGATGATTGATGACAAAAATTTCTAATCTTGTACAAAATTTCAGATTTTGTCAAATCCCGATGCCAATTATATTCACTCTCAAACCAATAGGTACTGCATATACTTCGTGATAATGGCATTAGTGACAGGTCCAGCAACATTCATGCAGGTAAATGGTAATTTTCGTGGATATATCAAACTAAAAGGTGCCATTAAACTTTTTATTAGATGTACAACCCGATAAATGTCTCGCTCTCCCTTACGAGGCTTCAACAAAAAACTTAAAATTGATAAAACTTCGTAAGAGAGGACGAAATGTTGGTTGAGTTTCGTATCTAATAAAATACTGTTAGCCTTTTTACATAAATCATCCACATTATTATTTTTAATTTCCTTTTTCATTAGATTTACATGTTTGGAATAGCCGGTGAAAAACTGGTTCTCAGGTTAAGAAAGCAAATGTTTGGTGCCATGCTATATCAAGAAATAGGATGGTACGATATTAAAGAGAATTCTGTTGGCAATTTATGCTCAAGATTATCCTCAGAAGCGTCGAGCGTGCAAGGGGTGAGAATTTTTTAGTTTTGCCTTTCACGTATGTATATACAAGCAGCGACGTCAGTTGGACAAATAATCAATCCCCTATTAGTAAGACCTTGTCTAACGAGGCTGCGTTGGCGTGCTGATGAGATCTAATAAGTTCAAAATCACGATTTTCGCCTGGCAGTTTCTTTAAATTACTGACTAAGGCTCTTATTAATTTCTTTATTTCTCAAGTTTTTGTCTTAACTCTCACTATTTATGTCACTGTAATACCACTGCTTTTTTGGGGATCAGTCATGTTGGCTTTATTTTATTATTTCTTTAGCGCAAATTAGAAAAATTACTAACTTCAGTTCAGGTACTTTTTAATGTTTTTCTAGGCGACAGGCCAAAGAATTGGTACAATCCTGCAATCTTTGGCGACCCTGGTTTTAGGAGTGTCATTGTCCATGTATTTTGAGTGGCGATTAGGTCTTGTCACCCTAGCTTTTGCTCCATTTGTCTTGGTTGCCACGTTTTTTCAAAAGAGACTTCAGACATCTAGAGACCAAGGGAACGGTTCACCGTTAGAAAGATCAACCAAGGTAAAAAATACTTCACATATGGAATAACTTACTAATTACGGTATACATAAAAGATATTCAATAAATTCGTCAAAGTGAATTTGGTTTGTTTTTAAACTACTTTATCGGTCGAATTTCTATTTGACTTCTTCTTTAATTCATATGTGTTATAATCATTTGTACTTAGAAAAACGTACAAAAAATATATAATAGATAATATTCAACGGGCAAATGAGTTTGTTTCTAGTAGTTTGAACTTTTTTAAAGTATAAGTATAAAGAAGGATATCGTAAATGGTGGATTACCCTCAACAGGCGAATGGGGGACTTCTAGGTCATCTAGAAAATTAAAATCTATTTCTAGAAATCTGGACTTTTTTAAGCTAGTCATTTTGTTAGAAATCATGATCGAAAATAAAGGAAATTCTAATTCGTTTTTGTGTTAGAATTAAACAATAGCTATACGTTCTACATTATTTCCTATAAAACTAAATTCCTTCGTAAAAGTAACATTTTTTCGCACAACTGTAATTAAAAGCATTATCAAAACAATACCACTTTTGATACTGGGTGTCAATTAAACAAAACCCAACCTGTTCTAAAACCTTACAACTTTAATCCTGGATGGTCCTAGTATTATCCATGCAGAATTAAAGTTCAACCAGTGTCAAATTTTTAAGTATGTATTTTGTATATTGTTTTTTGTTTTCTTTAGATTGCGATTGAAGCAGTCAGCAATATTAGGACAGTTGTTTCATTGGGAAACGAGAATTTGTTTTACACGTTGTATACAACTGAACTAATGTCGTACTACAAATTTGCCAAAAGAAGCATTCACATTCGGGCGCTTGTTTTAGCGCTAGCTAGAAGTTTATTAGACTTTGCGTTCTCAACTTGTATTTATTATGGCGGGATTCTAATCAGGGACGACAACTTAAACTACTCAAATGTTTTCAAGTAAGCATTTAGAACAGTATAGATACTTAGTTATCTTTCATAACAAATTATTTTGTTATTTTTCAAACATATTAAATTTAATATGACTTTTTTCTAGAGTCGCTCAGTCTCTTATATTTGGAACAGTTTCTATAGCTAACGCTCTCGCTTTTACTCCCAATTTTCAAAAAGGTTTAACGGCAGCTACAAGGATATTTAATTTACTTTGTCGCGTACCAAAAATTAGGGACACCTCTGAAAATCTATCAGAAAAATGGGTAAGGAATTGGAATTTTCCAAAATTTATAAATTCGAAACTAACTACAAGCAAATAAACAAACAAAATGCTGTTCCGTATTATAGGAAAAAGGTGACATTAACTTCTCGAAAATACACTTCCGATATCCAACACGTCCCATGGTGAAAGTCCTTAACGGACTAAATCTTTCCATTCTGAATGGTAAGACTGTAGCACTTGTGGGCTCTAGTGGATGTGGAAAATCGACCATAATCCAATTGTTAGAAAGATTTTATGACCCGGAAAGAGGATATGTATCGATCGACAAGCAAAACTTGGCCGACATGAAACTAAGTTCTTTGCGGTCACATCTTGGCATAGTATCGCAAGAACCAAACCTATTCGATCGAACAATTGCGGAAAACATTGCTTACGGTGCTAATAGCAGGGAAGTCAGTAAAGATGAGATAATCGAAGCGGCAAAGAAAGCAAACATACACAATTTTGTTTCGAGTTTACCTTTGGTGAGTAATTTGAAAAAATAATCCACGGTGACGGTGCATACACATATTTAATAGCAGATCGAAACAAGTATCGTATTTACGTATTTTTGAAGAGAATAAACTCAATTAGTTGATCCTTATTCTCTAGGGATACGATACAAGACTGGGTGAAAAGGGGGCGCAGTTGTCAGGGGGTCAGAAACAACGGATTGCGATTGCCAGGGCGCTGGTTCGAAATCCTAAGGTTTTACTCTTGGACGAAGCTACATCTGCGCTCGATAACGAAAGTGAAAAGGTATTTTTAACTTCCCATTAGGAAGTTATTGTAATTGGGTCGAAAAGTGAAATCGGAATTTTCATTATATTTCCACGTTTTAACATATTAGTAGCATGCTAGCCAATTTTTTTGATGATGTGTGTATGTACGTACGTACGTACGTACGTACGTACGTACGTATGTACGTACGTTCGTATGTCAGCATTTTTTTCGTTTTCGATATCTCAAGAACGGATTGAGATATCGCCCTCAACCAAAATTTTTTCGAAAGATATTATCATAATGAAGATCTGAAAGAAATTTGAACGAAATCGGTCAAGCCGTTTTTTTTTTATAAAAAAAAAAACGAATTAATTACAAACAATTTAATTAAAATACGTTCTAATCTAATCACAACAATGAAGTTACGGAATCAATAATAACGAAATATCATTATTCAAGACAGGGAATAACATATTATAATAACATATTATAATAAAAATTTGTTTATAACAAAATGAATTGTTATAAACAATCGATAAACAATAAAAAATAGTATTTACCAATTGACTGATGCAAGTACTCTATCAATTCGGTTTTCTCAGACGAAATACTGTTTCTTATGGGTTTATAAAATGACGAACTCTCAAACATTGTTTGTTATTTATTATTGTGCCGCGTTTTTTTCAAACTTTAGAAACGAATGTACTTTACAATAACTGTATTATCTAATGGGAAGTTAGTCGTATTAGCACCGACCAAACTGTGCTCAGACCAATTTTTTTTTAATAACATACAACAATATCATTAGGTACATTTTAGACTCTGATAATGAGATTTTTTGAAAGTAATTCATAAACTAAAACATACATACAAAAGGCAACTTTTAGAAGTGAATTACTTTAATATGAAATATTATTCTGAAAATTCATTTCTGAATTTTTTACCCATTACGCGCTACCTCAAATTAATGAAGGAAAAATTGTTGCTGTTGTTACACCCCCGCCGGGAATCGAACTAAGCTACAAAAGATGTCAACACCAACCACGACAAACCGAGCCTATATGTAATACTAAATTGTTTATGTTTATCTTAAAAGTCCGATAATCAGTAATGTTTACGTTTTCCGCCGATTGTAGCTGCAGGGTTTCTATCGCGCTACGCTATTAGTTATTCGGCAGACACCTATGTTGACAATTCACGCACAGGGCCGGCTTCGGATTGTATATTATTGTGATCTTCTTAAAATTGTCTTTTGTCCTTAACCGCCATGTTAGTCATTAATGTAAAATGTAAAAATGTTTATTCGTTATCTAGAAACCTAAAAGGAAGAAATAGTGAGATATTAGTTGGTTCAAAAAAACTATTGTGAATTATGAAGCAGTGTATCCAGCATTAGTTTTGTCATTTGTCCTTTTATCAGTTGATGAAATGCTATTGCTACTTATTTGGATTTAAAACATTTCTGCCTTTACACAAAAAACAAATATAAACTTTTTAATCCTTAATTGCCTAGATTTTTTTGCTTATTCATTCATACTCATAGTAAGAGGAAGAAATAGAGAATGGTATCTGCTTTTACATTTCAAAATGAACCCTTACCAGTTACAAAGTATCCAATTTTTTAATTAAAATTTTATGGTCCATTCAGCTAGCGACCTAACGATCACTGCCTTATCTAATGATGCTTCCTACTTCGTATTTCTTCATAACTTCTAAATCACGTTTTAAATTTTGGAGAAGGGAGATGCTCGCGACTCCCAGGAACTTCCCCCTCCTTTGTATACGCCCCTGTCATAATTTACTAATAAATTGCATACATCGTACATTATTATCTATCTGTCGCCATCAACGTAAATGTTCACATAGAATGTGCGCATGTACAAATGAAGATAGTTTATTTAATGATGAAGAGTACGAATTGCGAAAACTGCTCGTAGTAATAAGCCAAGCTCAAGCGAAGCATATCGCTGCCTGTAATCTGGAGGTTAAAAGTTTAATGGTTATGTCACGGTCGTGAACACACTTCTTGCACCTCTTCGACGTCAATTTACGTTATGAAATCAAGTGTTTCCAGGCCAAGTATACGATGCAGGCTACGACAGTGACTATGTTTGTGTGTCAGCGTCATTCATTTAATTGTAAAATAAGGCAAATATTAATTTATAATATCAATTAAACGAAGAAAGCACTAAAATAAGAAGAAAGAACAACTGTACTTGAAAATCTTAATAAGTTATATAAGTCCATACGTAATAGGTATCATTTTGATATGGTCGAAAATTTCACCTTTAATTTTGATATTACGAATTTTATATCAAGACAGACAGTAGCGGTGTTTAAAGTTTATTTATTTATTTATTTGTTTATTGTATCAACGGCAATTACCGTTTAAAATATACAAAACATTTATAAAGCACATTCAGTAGAATGTAACAAACTCGTTTGTCTGAGAATGAATTATTAATTTCCACTGATTTACTTGACTGGTACAATATGAAACATTTTGTAATATTAAAGAAATAAATGTAAAAGAGTCTTTTTCTTGACAATATTAATCTTTATTAATTACTTTATTTGATTGAATATAAAAGAAAAAAACGTCTGCCTTTGTTCGGCGCTATTTACAGAATG